AGCACGCTGAGCGATTGCATATTAGAGCAAGTAATCTCACGACCACTTGCTCAATATAAAAATATTCACCTGTTATTAAAGGTTACTTTTTCATGCCTATCTAGCTCAAGTCATCTTTATTCAGTTTGGCCTGTTTCAAAATCTATTATACAGGGCTATTACTACATGACATTACTAACTATATATGAAAAAAGTTAAAAAAACATGAGGCATATACTGCGAATTTTCGTAACGTAAGTGCTTAATTCAGGAATTTCGTGCAGTAACTCAGCACCGCAGCCCACGTTTGGTTAAAATTAGGGTTTATGTCAAGTTAGTGTATCATCTTGAATTCATTTTGGGCTGTGTGACGGATATGTAGAAGTGGAAGAGATGTTGATGCTGGACTGTGGAACCCTAGTTACTCTGGTTGGGTGGTGCGAGAGATGTATGGTTTGTACTCAACTGAGAGATATGAGGCTTCTATTTCATTCTGATGTTACACTGTCAGTAATTATTCAGTGTGTTCCAACATCTTTTACGCAAAAAGTGCAATATCCACGACTTAAAACTACCAAATTTATTTCATCCATGGGCAGTGCTCTTTTTCAGCGGTGGATTGCGCAGGGGCCAAAGAAGTGTGAGGATTCGACTCCAAGTCCCATGGCGAAAGTGGCTTTGTAGAGACCGACAGCGTGCACAACTAATCGGCTGTCAACCAACGGGTAATGTGTCGGGCAGGGTGCTTAGATCTGAGCATACTCTGATCCCCTCTTTCTCCTCAGTTCATCCGCCATTTCATGATTGGAAAGGTAGCAAGGCGTGTTTGTTTCATTGAACATCTCTGCTCTCAGTGGAAAAATATGAAAAAGCTGGTTGCTCGATTTGACGTATTACACAAATCGCTACACAAAATATGTGAAGTTTATACAACGCGTTGTTTGATGCGGCCATAATCTGTTGTCTTGTTACTAACAAAAGACGCCGGCGTTATTCGCAATGCTCTATTCGAAACTGCAGCTATGCACGTGAAGTTCATAGACGATCTCTATGCGCTGGTCGACCACGTCTCTGATGTCGAGTAGATGGAATTTTGGAAGCAGCTCTTCTTCCTTCCCCTCACCCAATCGAAATGAACAGCTAACGAGCTAATAAGCCCGCAATTCCCTTATGCACTCCTCTCCCATAAGACTTCCATCCATCTTCTCATACCCTATGCAAGCTAAAACGACACATATGCCAATAACTATTGCACTCTTGCACGCCCAGGTGAATAATAGATAAAAAACATTTGAATGGCCTCCATTCCTTGTAGGCTGCCCTATATTACTTAAGCTGAACTTCTGCTAGGCTCAATTCCTTCCATAGAGTCATATTAGTTTAACCGATATTCAGATGGTCTCAATTCCCACATGGGAGCCCCTGCATTGCGCAATTTGACCTTACGATAGCCTCGATTCCTCCTAAAGTTTCATTTATTACGTATTCTAACGTTCCCCTGGATTCGATTATTCATGTGATGTCGTCTTTAGAACTTTCCAAACAACAGTCTCGTTTCCTAATATGCATGCATCGTTTTGCATCGTACAAAGTGTTTGCTTGAAAAAAGTGGGGTGCGTGAAGAGTGAGCATGCTCCTTACATCATCAGTAACTCACTCTGCGGGAAAGGGAATGATCGGACTGCGGGATAAAAACATGTACTAACGTTGTCATCGATTACGGTACGGAGGCGAATAAAATAGTCCAATGTTGAGCTTAGCGGTTTGTTGTAAAAAGCCGTTCATCAGAACTGCTGTGACGTGTCGTGTTGTGAAAACGACATTTGATTCAATCGGGATGATTAACGAACATGAATGGAGCCTAGCCATAGGAGTAAGGTGTGCGGGTCTCTCGGTACGCACAAATTTATTTTAGTTCTTTCACGTTTTCGATGCTTCTGCCTACCGACCATTTCACGACCACACTTCACTCGCACTAAGCCTGCACCAAGAGACATTTACGAAGTAAAGAAGCGCCAACTCCACGTTAATGCGGACTCATCAAGGTGTGTGACATTAAAATACGAGACGAAGGCGAATCCATGATGCCTTATGCACAGCTTGTTTAGGTGATAGACAAAGAGATGTACGTGGTTAGGGCAGAGGAGGATGTTCCGAGCTGGGCTCCGATCCACTGCGTAGCGCATTGAATATCACTCATGAAGGATCGACGTCTATCGCATAATCCGATTACATCTACAACAGCTACGCACGAGGTATTAGTAGTGATGTCTTCACACGCCATCAATGGAAGCCTCCGCTATTCCGTAATTCAGTCGTGACGCGCAGGAGTGGGCTCCATCCTGGTTGGGTGTATCAAAGGGCACCTTCTGAAACAAAGTGCGGTAATTGTGCTGTTGGAACTCACCGTGGCTGCGCAGTCCATTAAATTGCATTTTCTCAGGAATCTTCGCCTGTTTTATTATGGCACTTGCCATTGTGTCCTCAGCTGTGTCAATCCCATAAGGCTTTGTGGCAAGGCGTCGAAATGAATGCCAAGCAATGGGGTATGAACATGGAAGCAATCCTATCAGCAGTCGTTGAAGCGGAGTTGGACTGGTTAACACCTGCGAAGGCAGGAGCGTGGGGAAGATAAGAAGCTGTTTATGAAAGCATTAGGTGCTTATGTTTGCCTAGGCACGTTAACATTCGCCTTCGAGGAGAATAGCCTTCATTGTACGATACTTCTCTTGCCTGTGACAAAGCTTGTATACCAGGCTGCACTTACCAGTTAGCACGCTGAGCGATTGCATATTAGAGCAAGTAATCTCACGACCACTTGCTCAATATAAAAATATTCACCTGTTATTAAAGGTTACTTTTTCATGCCTATCTAGCTCAAGTCATCTTTATTCAGTTTGGCCTGTTTCAAAATCTATTATACAGGGCTATTACTACATGACATTACTAACTATATATGAAAAAAGTTAAAAAAACATGAGGCATATACTGCGAATTTTCGTAACGTAAGTGCTTAATTCAGGAATTTCGTGCAGTAACTCAGCACCGCAGCCCACGTTTGGTTAAAATTAGGGTTTATGTCAAGTTAGTGTATCATCTTGAATTCATTTTGGGCTGTGTGACGGATATGTAGAAGTGGAAGAGATGTTGATGCTGGACTGTGGAACCCTAGTTACTCTGGTTGGGTGGTGCGAGAGATGTATGGTTTGTACTCAACTGAGAGATATGAGGCTTCTATTTCATTCTGATGTTACACTGTCAGTAATTATTCAGTGTGTTCCAACATCTTTTACGCAAAAAGTGCAATATCCACGACTTAAAACTACCAAATTTATTTCATCCATGGGCAGTGCTCTTTTTCAGCGGTGGATTGCGCAGGGGCCAAAGAAGTGTGAGGATTCGACTCCAAGTCCCATGGCGAAAGTGGCTTTGTAGAGACCGACAGCGTGCACAACTAATCGGCTGTCAACCAACGGGTAATGTGTCGGGCAGGGTGCTTAGATCTGAGCATACTCTGATCCCCTCTTTCTCCTCAGTTCATCCGCCATTTCATGATTGGAAAGGTAGCAAGGCGTGTTTGTTTCATTGAACATCTCTGCTCTCAGTGGAAAAATATGAAAAAGCTGGTTGCTCGATTTGACGTATTACACAAATCGCTACACAAAATATGTGAAGTTTATACAACGCGTTGTTTGATGCGGCCATAATCTGTTGTCTTGTTACTAACAAAAGACGCCGGCGTTATTCGCAATGCTCTATTCGAAACTGCAGCTATGCACGTGAAGTTCATAGACGATCTCTATGCGCTGGTCGACCACGTCTCTGATGTCGAGTAGATGGAATTTTGGAAGCAGCTCTTCTTCCTTCCCCTCACCCAATCGAAATGAACAGCTAACGAGCTAATAAGCCCGCAATTCCCTTATGCACTCCTCTCCCATAAGACTTCCATCCATCTTCTCATACCCTATGCAAGCTAAAACGACACATATGCCAATAACTATTGCACTCTTGCACGCCCAGGTGAATAATAGATAAAAAACATTTGAATGGCCTCCATTCCTTGTAGGCTGCCCTATATTACTTAAGCTGAACTTCTGCTAGGCTCAATTCCTTCCATAGAGTCATATTAGTTTAACCGATATTCAGATGGTCTCAATTCCCACATGGGAGCCCCTGCATTGCGCAATTTGACCTTACGATAGCCTCGATTCCTCCTAAAGTTTCATTTATTACGTATTCTAACGTTCCCCTGGATTCGATTATTCATGTGATGTCGTCTTTAGAACTTTCCAAACAACAGTCTCGTTTCCTAATATGCATGCATCGTTTTGCATCGTACAAAGTGTTTGCTTGAAAAAAGTGGGGTGCGTGAAGAGTGAGCATGCTCCTTACATCATCAGTAACTCACTCTGCGGGAAAGGGAATGATCGGACTGCGGGATAAAAACATGTACTAACGTTGTCATCGATTACGGTACGGAGGCGAATAAAATAGTCCAATGTTGAGCTTAGCGGTTTGTTGTAAAAAGCCGTTCATCAGAACTGCTGTGACGTGTCGTGTTGTGAAAACGACATTTGATTCAATCGGGATGATTAACGAACATGAATGGAGCCTAGCCATAGGAGTAAGGTGTGCGGGTCTCTCGGTACGCACAAATTTATTTTAGTTCTTTCACGTTTTCGATGCTTCTGCCTACCGACCATTTCACGACCACACTTCACTCGCACTAAGCCTGCACCAAGAGACATTTACGAAGTAAAGAAGCGCCAACTCCACGTTAATGCGGACTCATCAAGGTGTGTGACATTAAAATACGAGACGAAGGCGAATCCATGATGCCTTATGCACAGCTTGTTTAGGTGATAGACAAAGAGATGTACGTGGTTAGGGCAGAGGAGGATGTTCCGAGCTGGGCTCCGATCCACTGCGTAGCGCATTGAATATCACTCATGAAGGATCGACGTCTATCGCATAATCCGATTACATCTACAACAGCTACGCACGAGGTATTAGTAGTGATGTCTTCACACGCCATCAATGGAAGCCTCCGCTATTCCGTAATTCAGTCGTGACGCGCAGGAGTGGGCTCCATCCTGGTTGGGTGTATCAAAGGGCACCTTCTGAAACAAAGTGCGGTAATTGTGCTGTTGGAACTCACCGTGGCTGCGCAGTCCATTAAATTGCATTTTCTCAGGAATCTTCGCCTGTTTTATTATGGCACTTGCCATTGTGTCCTCAGCTGTGTCAATCCCATAAGGCTTTGTGGCAAGGCGTCGAAATGAATGCCAAGCAATGGGGTATGAACATGGAAGCAATCCTATCAGCAGTCGTTGAAGCGGAGTTGGACTGGTTAACACCTGCGAAGGCAGGAGCGTGGGGAAGATAAGAAGCTGTTTATGAAAGCATTAGGTGCTTATGTTTGCCTAGGCACGTTAACATTCGCCTTCGAGGAGAATAGCCTTCATTGTACGATACTTCTCTTGCCTGTGACAAAGCTTGTATACCAGGCTGCACTTACCAGTTGTCTCCAACAAATCGCTCCCCACCACTGTGCAATCCTTGCATTTGCCAAGTAGTGACAGTCGCACGTAAAGATGATGTGAATTTGTCAGTCAACTTCACTACCGACGTCGAATATCATAAGAAGGTGGGTGTATGTATGATGAGGCAAGTTTACCTCCCAGGTTTTTGAATGACGTCCCACATGTACTTTGTGGTGCCGCTGTTGAACTTCCGCCGATTGCTCCTTTCCTCTAAATGCTGCAGTGTTATGAGAAAGTGGACTGAACGCTTCACTTTCACGCAAAGTGGACGTCAAATTTTGATAATGCATAAAGATATTTAGAATCCGGCTAGACTTGTTGTTTACACAGGTCCATTTATCGCTTAGAATAGCTGATGAGGTTTAGGAGCACATGCACCACCATAGTTACGGTGGTGAAATGACGAAGGACTGAATGGCGAAGAATTCGTGCAGAATTACTGACTTGGGCACAAATTTCTCATGGTGCCATGAAAAGACAATGCAGGTATGTCTGCCAGAAACATTGCAACGTCTGGTGTAATTTTGGTACTCCCTTTATGCACTCGAACTTGTTTACTTCATCAAACGCATTGACATTTGGAGGCAACACCAGCTGACACATGGACTTCAAAGGCTTAACTCCATCTACCCAATCAATAGGCACGACGTCTAATACTCACGCCTATATTTCATCAGTCCTAGAGTGGCTCCACCCTACTTGGGCGCAGGAATACATTCTTACGTTGTTTGGCCACGGAGTTGCGTACAGTTTTCAATAACGGTTATTCCTTCCTGTTCACTTAGTTTTTCCCAGGGTACTCTCGAGTAACTGTCTAAGGACCTCGGTATTTGCTGTCCTAACATCATGCAATTCGAATTACATCCTGTTTCCCTTTCTTGACCACAAGCCAACGCTTCCATTGATTACTTTCACATAAATATCCCCCTTACGTTCATTTCCGGCACCACAAACTGAAGCATTTACCTTGCGCCTAGGCACTCAGCCACTCATATGCAACAGTGGATTTCATTGAAACGCCTCCCCTTACCTCTTTAGCTATTTTACATTGATTAATATTTGTTGCTGAAACTGTCAGCTGTACCGGTGCAATCCCTCTGCCAACGTGCTCATCAGCCTAAATCTAATTGAGCCTTCGCTTCTCCAACCTCTGTTTCCTTTACTTCGGCAGAAACGTTGCAATGTCCTGTCTTGACTTTTCAGTGATGCCTTCTGTGTATTCTACTTTGTCCTCCTAACCAAGCATAGACATTTGAATGCGAAGACTGTTGAAGCAAGCGCTTCAAATGTGTGGCTCTGTTCACCCGATCAACAAGCGATTCGTCTAATATCCACTCCTAGCTTTCATCATCACATGTTTGGCTCCACTCCATTTAGCACAACAATTGTGCTGCAAAAATACATGCTATCACATCATTCCTCCACATCTTATTTGCTTGGTTATCTTCGCCTGTTCGACTCTGGCGCTTGTTCTTGTGCTCTCAGCTATGCTAATCACATAAAGTGTGGTGAGAAGTAGTCGAAGTGAATGACAAGCAATGCAGCCTGCACATAGAAACAATAGCGTCAACAATTGTTAAGGCTGCAGTTCAGTGGCGACCCTTATCTCCAAATTAATGACTGCTTTCAACAAGAACAGCCTTCAAATTCAATGTTTCCCTTTTTTCTGTCGCTTTCACTTAGTTATTTCAGTAACCAATTGTTCGAGCTAAAGTTTAGTGTTTGTCTGTGTGCGCATTTCTTGAATATCTCCTTAAGGGATAGAAAATGAAAGGGAGTGGAAGTTGTAGGAGAAGGCGGGGAAGAAGGAATTATCCAAACAGAGCAAGAAGGAAAAAGAAAATTTGCGTCGTGACCATGGTGGAGGAATGCTTTTGCAAGGACGCATGGCATGGGAGAAAAGAAGGTTAAAATGTTCAAATGCATAGACGTTCAACTCTCCTCTCACGAATACAATCATATAAATGAGATTTGACCCAATGGATGATCTGAAAGGGTGGCGTAAGCTCGCAGCTCACTTTCTGACTCCAAATGATACAGTAAACCAACCGTTCAAATCTGGATTTGTACTTGAATACTTGTGCTGGAGAGCGCAGGACACTAAAAAGGGTTATGGTATTTGGAATATAAAATTCTAACTCATTACATGGGTATCGAAGACATGAGGATATCACCAGTCATGAGTCGATAAGTTGGCAATTCTACACTGATGCATTTTTGTCACCTGCACCACAACAGCGAGCCGACGTCACTGCTCCCGTCAGCGCTCAACTACAGTCGTGTTCAAGGCGGAGATTGCATTGCGCGTCAGCGCTTTCGAGTATGCAGTTGCCGGTTATTAAGGAGAAGCATGAAACCCTAACCCATCAAGCCAAGCGTAGCTGCCAATTCTACACAGTTACGGTTTTGTCTGACGCTGAGATTTGCCATTATGATCAGTCAGCATGGCGTGAACCTGTACTTGGTGCACCTTGTTGCGG